TGAACAAAGTTTTTTGGTTTGTTTTTTTTTTTTTTTGCACTTTGGAATTATCTTTTCTCTGGCTTTTGAGTCTTTTTGCGGATTTTCTCTGCAATTTTGTGAGCTACAGATGTGTTTTCATGGAGTCTTGCATAATCACATGGTTCTGGGAGCTGGGCACCCGATCTCTAGGAGCCCTGCTATTGAACTGGAGATCAGATGCATAGTAAATAAATCTGCTTTTGACAGTTCTTGTTATTACAGCTTGGTTTAAGACACACACATGAGTTTTCATACACACACACGTATGGGAACATTCTGACCACACACCCCTCTGCTGAGCATTATGCAAAATACCTGCAGGCTCAGAGAACCGTGCCCAGCCATCCCAGTATGAGTGGGGTGGTAGCACAGGGGATACCAATCCCAGTCATCCTGACACAGAGCAGAGCCCTGGGGGATGGCCGACCAGGAGCCCCTCACACATGCTGCTGCAAGGGGCCAGTGTTAGTCCACTTTTTGGAAGGCCTCTAATGTTCGTGTCAAACAGGTGACCAAACAGAAAGGAAGTTTATTATGATGTACTGGGAGGCCCTCTTCTGAGCAGAAGGACTTAGCCTGGGGTCAGGAGGAGGAAGCTTGCAGGTTTTGCAGGGAAAGCAGGAGCCACTAACAAGTCAGAGGCACAGTCTTCTTGGACCATTGTCCCTCATCCACCTGGTATCAGGTGCTGTAGAGGTCCCTTTCCCCTGGCAGCACACCTATGCCATCCCACACCAGAGTGTGATAAGCTTTATTAACACCAGATGAGAGTTCACCCCTGTCCATTGCCTCTTCCTCATGCCAACCGTGAGAAGGTTCCCAGGAGAGGCTATGAGCACAAAGGCTCTTCACCACCCCCTCCAGCTCACCCCCTCTGCTGGGGATGGCTGTCCCACAGGGGGCAATCAGAGTAGTATGCTGCTAAGCCTTGACTCCATCCCTGGTGGGGTGGGAAATTCCCAGAGGAGCGGGCAAGTGTTGTTCAGCAGCATGTTGGACACTCTTTGGTCACAGAGCATAAGTCAAAACAGACCAGTTATTGATTCATGTTCACTGAGGCTCTTGGCTCTCTCCCTTCAGGTCCATGTGATATCTGTCTTTCTTGTTCAGGCAGTAAAACTTTATGGTGCTCTCTCATCACACTTTGCAGAGGGATGGCTGCAGCCTGCCTGTTGCAGGAGCACCCGGGCTGGTGGTGCGGTGGTGGGACCCTGCTGTCCCCTGCCGGACAACCCCAGCATGGCTTGCAGCACTACCCCAGGTTTGAAGACTCCAGTGGCCATTATTTAGTGGTACAGCAAAGAAAGGCTGGGGCCTGCTTACAATTTTCTCTGCTTATGTGGCTTCAGGCTCCTTAGTGCCATGTTTTGTCCCTGACCCAGCAGGTGAGGGAGGTCTGCCAAACCAACCTCAGGATGCTGTTCAGACTGCTTTGGAAAGCTGTGGACCACTGGTCATACAAGGCAGAGTGAACCTCCTGCTGACTGGAAGATGCTTGTACTCACAATCAGAGTTGCAATTCGTTCACTGCAGCACTCTTGCAGCACCACCGCCTCTTTCCCCACAGCCTTCCAAGGGCAGCCGCTCGGCACAGGTGCTGCACTGTGTCCTTGGTCACAGAAGAACAGCCACAGTAGGCATGCCACTGCAAAATGACTTGAGCAAAGCGTGAAGGAAGGAGAGATGAAGGTGGGGACTAACATCACCATGAAACCCTAACACTGAAATAAAATCCTCTCAAATCGAACCGTATATCACTGGAAGCAGTCTGTAAATGTGAATACTGGCTGGCAGCCAAAGTGCAAATGGCAAGCCTCTGTGCAAGGGAAGTGGATTAATGTGCAGTGGGGACCACTGCTATTACATGCTCCAGAACAGGCTGTGCTGGTGCATAGGTTTTTCAGTGCTGGTTACAAGCTATTAAACCCCACTAAGATCATAAGTTCTCAGTCCTCTGCATAAACTCATTCCTAAAAACCTCACCAAAACACACTCAAATGGCTCACAGTTTCACTGAGGGGATCATCTCCCCACTTTAAATGAGACAGAATGAGAAGAGACCTTTCTACCAAGAAAAGTTAGGTTCATGCGAGGTTGCTTTGTAGGAGTGCTAGCCAAAAATGGAAGGAAGAAGCTTCTAAAGGAGTGTTGGTACTAAGCAAGCCTGAGAATACCTGTCCTCTCCACTCCATGCTCCTCTCGTGGGCTCTGGAGTGAGAGAAGCACTAGTGCACCAGTGAATAGCAAGTGGAGAAGATTTTACCCTAGGTTAAGAATCTCCCCACATGGGGAACAAGGGCTCTCAGGAGGGCTGATGGAGGCCCACTCAGAGGACGGAGGCTGGGCAATAGCTAAGGGAACACTGGAGGGAGACAGGAGGTTTAAATTGTTAACGTATTAATCTGGCTTTCCTATATAGGTTCTGTTCCTCAATCCCCACCGTCATCACCCATAAATTTGCATTTATTTTAAACCCTGGGGCTTGTTGCTCTCAAGAAAGGAAACATTGCTGTCAAGGGCACTGAGACAAAGTCATTTAGTTTCTGTGTGAGAACTCAGTACAGCTTAATAAGAGCTCCAGAGTAACTGACCCCAGTGCACTGCACTGCCCATGTTGGCGACAGGGACCCCTGCCACAATAGGATGCAGCAGCTTCTTGCTCCACTGAGAGATGCTGTGTGTTGCTGAAGAGTGGGTGCTGACAGCACTCAGGATTGCACTGTGGTGTTTGCTGCTTTTCTTCATGCCTAAGCTCACGGCTCTAAGTGATTCCGAAAGACTCTTATGTCTTTCTTTCATCTGTTTGCTTTTTAAGTAGTTTTCTAGCTTTCGTATTTGTAAAGAAACGCCTTGAGGTCCAATATATCAATGTTAAAAAAAAAAAAGACAGCAAGGAAAAAGGGACCCAGACTGTTTGCACAACCTCAGGGCTCTTAAGATGGTTTGGTGATTTCCAGAAGTGGAGGGTGCTCCTGGAGCACGCAGCAGTGAGCCACGAGGGGGCATGGGGATCATCCGGGTGGTGCCTGGCCACAGCGAGGAGGATGGCAGGGTGCCCCGGCAGGGCTCTTCCCCAGCCTTCGTGTGACCTTCCCTGCTGGCCCGCTTCTGTTCCCCTCTTTGTGTCCCTCTTGAAAAGGAAGTTTTGTCACGCCACTGAGTCATCAGATGTGGAAAGCCCATAGTTCCTTCAAACACCCACGGTTGTATGGGAGGACAAGGGGAAACAGGAACACCCAAAGGCAGTGTCAGGGCTGGAAAGCAAAGACACGTTTTGGGTCTGCACCATTGAGTACTGCCCCTCAGGATGCTCTGGAAGCCCTTCTCTGGTGGGCTTTTCCATTTTTCACATGGAAAATGTGTTCTGCCCCCAAACCTTGTCAGCATTACCTGCTGCAAAATCCCTCCCACCTGCCACCTTCTAAGTGTTCAGAAAAACACTAATCTGCAGCTCTTTGCATGAATTAGGAACCCGTTTCATGAGCTCAGGCATTTGGCTGTCCTGGGAAAATCCCAGTCTGAAATACAGACCAAGATCCTATGGAAGAAAAGCTGTCACTGTGCTGCCCTTGGACCAAGTCATCTCTACCCCTGGGACACGTCAGTATAACCCATACTGGCCAGGTTCAGCTATGTATTATAAAGCAGGTGCAAAGGGATCACGGGAGACAGGCTTGGCTGGTTGCCGCCTCCCCACAGGGCTGCCTGTGCATGCGCTGAGCGTGATTCTCCCAGCCCCTTGCCCCCACCGCTGCCAGCTTCACAGAGAGCGCAGCCAGGGGCAGGGGCTGCCCAACACTGGACGCAGCACAAGGTGAGCTCACTGACCTGTGAACCCGCTGCCCCGCAAGCACCAGACGTCCTCACTGCCCGCAGGGACTGTGCTTCTGCTCACACACCCCTCCTGCCAGGTGCTGCTGCCAACACCACCTCTTCCCTGGACAGCAGCAGGTGGGGATCAAATCAGTTACCCCCCAGTGAGATGCGCTATGTTCACTCACAGAGGCGTGAGGGGCTGGGGTCCAGAACAGGCCAGTGCTGTCCCATCTTGGCCTTCAGACATGCCTAGGACTGCCCCTCTCCAGAGGCAGTGTGTCCTGCAGAGAGAAGCCAAGGACCAAATCCACCAAAGGGGTAAGCATAGCTTTGCTCTACGTGTCAGGACACTTGTGTGACCCCAGTGCCATTCGAATGGCTCTGGTGACTACAACACAGAAGTGCATTTCACTGAGCTTCCCAAGAAGAGGAATACACATCTCCCCTGCTATGGTTGGCCTGGGTCTGTAGGACCCTTGGGAACAGATCAGATCTCCTTGTTCCTATGGTTGCACATCAGCCCGGATGCTGCCTGAGCCATGCCACTCAGAGCCTGGCAAAATCCGCACGGTGAGCAGCAGCCATGGCAGGGGCTCAGCTGCAGAAGGCAGCAGGGCTGGGGTGCCCTGGGAGCCTCATGACTTGCCAGAAATGTGCTGCTATCCTGCCAAGAGCAAATATCACCATCCTCACAAATGGTTAACCTGCCGGGAGCTGCACAGCACTAATGACTTCACATGCATTTAATCAGCTTGGGCTTCCACAGCTTCCTCCTCGGGAGCAGGAAAGGCTGTGCACCCTGGGTGCAAATGCTCCCAAAGCCGCACCCCCCCCCCCCTTCCCCAACCCCGGGCCAGCGACTGGAGCAAGCGGCAAGCGAGCAGGAAAAGGCCAAGACTCCGCAGCCCCTGTGGGAGCAGCGGGAAGCAATGCTGACTGGTTCCCTGTGGTG